TAATAGTAACTGGATATAACATGTTTGAAAACTATATTCTAGATATATCGATACATGATATTTGTGGTTCGTTGTATTAGATGTTAAAGTAGAGAATGCGTTCCTTAATACAGTCTAATATCCATCTTTCCTTATTATCTTTTTATGACTTCTGGTCAAGTCATTACTAACATGTACGTCACGGAGATGACGTTTTCATTATATGTATACTAATGATCGTTAATTCCAAAAAGTACTATAACGAAAGAGGAAGACTATTTATACTGTAATAGCAGTTCATCAATGCCTTACTAATATCTAATGTATTTTTGAATTATTACATGAAAACATGTTTGGTAGTATTCTATAACTTCTTGAGATAAGTATTAACACAAGAATGTAAAAATGGTGGCAGGTAACACGTATGCACACACGCTGTAGCCACTCAATCATAAATATCAGAAACGTAGTAATGTAAAGTAAACTTATGTAAAGTGGTGGAACTAACAAGTCAAAGACAAACAGAGATGATTCATTCATACGTGTTTCATTAACGTAACGAAAACAGCTTTTTAAGTATAGTCAATTTTTAATTGCACTTCTTAAGTGCTTGCGCGATGTAAATTTCAACAGTGTGTGAAGCGAGCTGATTTCCTAACAATTACTCGCATATTCATGAGAATGACGGGACACGTGAATATAAAGCACGTCACATTTTCGATGCGAGCCAAATAATTTTATGCATTCGTGTCCAATACATATTGATCTTTCAACTTGTATTGATCATTTGAGAAAGAAATCGGAACGATCAGCTCTGGCATTGAATTAATCGATATTTACCATGTTCTGTGTTTTCCTCATTAAAATTATCTACAAATACTTATGGAAATACAGCAGACAGGAAAACAAGAATTGTTCGTGTCTTTTTTTTTATCAAAGCTAGGAAAAATTACATTTCAGTATAGCCGAAGCTCATATTATCCCGAAATTTCGTGTTTTCTGTTATACGTATATTTTACATAAAACCGAGTTATGCCTCTACTAATGACTTACCTTCTTCCAACATGACTGTGCAATTCTGTGTATCAATGTTACATAAGACAATTAGCATACCATTATTTTCTCCATGACATTTCGCGACGTGATAGTTCAAGTAGTATGAAATTACATTTAGAAAGTAACGTAATTTCTAATTCCTAATATCTGATTATACAATACGTTTGTGAGTTACTTTTCATTTTTTTCATTGAAATTGTAATATTTGAATACTCATCGTATTGATATTCTCTAATTATTTTAATCAATCATGTTATTCATAGTAAAGTCCCTGCATACAATAACTTGCAGCTTCGATTGAACGACGCTACTATAATGATTATTTTTATTAAACCTGGAGGTAATAATTCTCATCTGCTATGTATGTACCATCAAAAACTATTTGTGGAAGCTCTAGATGTGTTCCAGAATGCTGCTATTTCGCACAAGATAGCTTCCGCTATTATGTCATTGAGGATATTATTTTACGCAACCCACGTGTATGACGTTTTCCGCATGAGAGGATTCACGTTCATGTGAAACGTAATAACGAAGATAGATAAATAGTAAACACACACGTGCACGTGATACCTGTTGCACCTCGGTGGAAACGTATGTACGTTATGCAACAAATGAGGTACATCGTAATCGATCGCGTAATTACACGTATGAACTTTTTCTATACATCACGGTTGTGTGACGTTATCGCCTCGCCTGGTGTGTGACGTTCGCATTGTGGCACTCACCCATGGCTACGTGAAGCGTGTGCCTATTACTGGCACTGGCACACAGATACTACTAGAATGACACAACTCAAAGAATTGAATTTTTTTAAAACAGGTTTAGTGTTAGCGTTCGCTATTCCTATACATCTCATTGCCAAGAACTTCATTACTTAACTCAATGTAATTTTCTATGAATTACAAAATTTTATTATAATTATACAATTACTCACATATCGTACGGTTAGCAAAGTAATAAAAAAAAAATACTGTTCTTCATAATTAATAGAGTAATTAATGAAATATAAAATTTATATCATATATCAATATATCAAAGGTACTAACATATTTTGGTAAGATAGTGATACACTAATTGAAAGATCTGTTAACACTACATCAATAATCGTTACCTTGCCTTGCGCGATAAATGAGCCTTTTTCCTTCACTCGGTTTTTTCCATCTGAAATTACTTAATCGGCCATTTCCAGTCAATTACTGCTGACTGTTTCAATGCGACGTAAACAACAGTCTGTTGGCACGTCAAGTTTTTATAATGTGCACGCTTGAATAACATATTTTGGTAAGATAGTGATACACTAATTGAAAGATCTGTTAACACTACATCAATAATCGTTACCTTGCCTTGCGCGATAAATGAGCCTTTTTCCTTCACTCGGTTTTTTCCATCTGAAATTACTTAATCGGCCATTTCCAGTCAATTACTGCTGACTGTTTCAATGCGACGTAAACAACAGTCTGTTGGCACGTCAAGTTTTTATAATGTGCACGCTTGAATAGCAACATTGACATACGACATATTACCAATTTCCGATGTTATTGAAAGGTCTAAATTTAAAAGTTTATTAATCATTATGGTAAGAACATTTTAGAAATATTTTAGGAATTTAGAGAACATGCTATTTGTTGTATTAAAAGAACTTGTAAACATCCGTGAATTTTATTTCCACAATAACAATTTACTGGTAGACGTGAAGTGAGATATATCTCGATAAGAATCAAAAGTAAGATTGAAATGTAAAATGATTCTGATGATGACTTTATAATACGTACGAGGAAATTCTGTGTAAGTGTGACATTTGTGTGCAGAAAATATCCTGTAAACATATCTGATATTACGTGTTTTCTTTGCGTTATAGTGTGCAATACATATTCTCCATTATTCCACGGATCTAGCGAAAATCGCTTGAGTACCTGGAAAAAGCATTTGCCAGCAACCTATGTTTCTTAATTAGTTCGGAAAATTGAATTTATTTATTCGATTGAGCTCAACGTTAAAGCCGCACGACGTATGCTCATGTGTTCTCAATATTTTGCATAAATATCGTGGATTACACTTCCATTGCGTAACAACAAAGTAAGAGCTGATCAGGAAGAACAATTAGAAAGTGCATACGGAGGTGTCCTGATGCATAAGCTCGTTTATGCGATTGCTGTGGCCGTTGCATAATTATCGGTACACGCAGGGGTCACTTTCTCGCGGTTTATACAGGATGTCCCACGTGTGGTTGAAGTATTCTGTTGTTTTAATTTTATGCGAATGAGCTTCTTCACCTCACAATATGTGCAATATCCTCTAAGTTTGTTTCTGTCAGATCTATATTTCTGTCATAATGTTTCAAAAATAATGTGATTCATGACGTCTACTAGCCAGTCGACAGATTTCAAAGAATCAGGGTAGATGATTACATGAAATACCTTATATGTACTTCCGTTCTTTTAAATTTCCATTTCCACTGTCCTCTGATCTCGAACCCGATGAACCTTCTCTTTTTCATGTCCAATACATATCTTTTACCCGGACGTCTATCTTTCTCCTACTCCTTCACTTGGCTTCAGTAGAAATTCAACTGAGGAAACTCGACAGAAAGGGACAGTATTGAGTTGGACGCGGAGGCGAGTTCATAGTCTTTGGCTTTGCAAGGATATCGTTATTTTTTTACACTTTTGACTTCTTTGAACGATATTTAATTAGCTGCCGATCGATTTGTGGGTTATCGTTGAGAACCTTTCAAGTAATTGTCAATTATTCAATTTCGATCATAAACGTTTTGATATCGAGTTAAACGCACCAGGTGTGGTGATAGTGTTTTTCAATCGAAGTTCCGTAATGATAGAGCTATTATATTTAATAATGTCGATATTGTTGTCTGTTAACTCCTTAGCTGTATTTGTCTACCGTAGGACAATAACTAAAATTTTACAGTGAATAAATCAAATCATTGAAAACGCATGCTTTCTCCATTGTAAATTAGGTATACTATACGTGACAATAAGGAGACACACTTTCGTTTTATCTGTATCAACTCTCTCTTTTATACACTCAGTGTTTTAATTATTTCAAAGTATCAGTTTGGATCTTTTTTCATACCACAAAGGGAAGAAAGGCAGAGAAACGTTTGCGTTAGTTCAAGATAACATCATCGCGCGAATCTAATTGAATGATCGAATCGAATGATCTAATTTCGTTTGTCTCGTAAAAGATTGGATTATAGTTCACAGGCCACGTGATCCTTAAATCACCGTGCGATTCGTGTCGTCGTTCCGATATACATAGTTACCTTACTAAACGCGAATCTTAAAAAGTTTGGCAAACGTGTTAATTGCATTTAAACGGAGAGAGAGAGAGAGAGAGAAAATGGAGCACGAGGTTGATCACGAAAATTATGTTGCACCGGTAAGTTTCGTTTTCATATCCATATTTAATTTGTTATTATAATTCATAGAATAAAACAGAATATTTTATAAAAACAAAAATAAAAAAATTTTTTAAGCAATTCGCAATGTAATGATAACAATAATTATCATCACATTGTTTGATAATTATTGCTTATTGTATGATAAATCGTTTCGTTCACATGTCTCAGACCACTTATTAAAACTTTCATACATATGTATATTTTATATATGTATACTTATGTATCTGACACACTTTTTTGCGCACGATGCAATAACGTGTGAATGCTGAAAAATAATGAATCGTATATTATACAATCAAAATACGTATGTGTAACATTTCCCAGTGGGGTCAGTTATTACGAAACAAAGATTGCATTCATAAATATTCTTTTGTAATATCGAAATTAAATCGATGCGACATAAATTTTTTATTTTTTGAGTTACACATTCACAATAAGCAGCAGTTATTTTCGCATTACGTGTCATGATATATGCATATATTTACATATTTATCAATGCAGAATTTGATTTAAAACATGTTTCATTTATAGAATACTAAAAAAAATTATGCATACGAAGATACCACAGTTTTAAAAATAAAAAGAATTCTTTTATTGTTTCCTTTGTAGAACTGTGTATTCGGTATAGACGATTCCTTGCGGTTAATAGCTATGCTTTCTTTCTCTGTGCTTATACGCTCTCCTGCACAATACCTGTACACTTTTCCTGGTTATTATGAAGTGAAACGAGTATCTTTAAGCGATTGCACTTGCAATTCACTTTCTCGTGAGTAACGATAAAGGAAGATACACTGATCCATTGTATGTGAGGAAAAACAGGATGTAAGTATTTAGTATTTCATGACACATGATATTTTTAGTTCATGTTAAATGGAATTCTCGAGACATGTGTATAACGAATACCTGGATAAGATATCTGTTGCATAAGAAATGAAGACAAATCGTATCAAAAACGCTTCATGATACAAGATTGAAAAACTTCTTATATGATTAACAAAAAATAGAGAGTTCATGCGTCTGTCCTAATGTAGGATTTAAAGGATCATGTAGAAAGTTCTTAATCATATCTCTTAAATATAAATATTATTTTGCAATAGAATTTGTCTGTCAGACTTTAGTTGAACATAGTACTTAACGGATCACCCGATGTACTCGGTAACGTTGGAACGTGGGTCTTCAAATAGAATTTCTTGTCCGCGTTTTAATACGCGTTCGTATTCAAGTGACGTACATCCTGACGACGTTTATTTATGCCGCGTTCTTCGATCAGGAAGAACAAAATACATTGCTCTTATCGTATCGTTAATTATCATGCTAATAGAACGAAACAACTGTTTCGAGGTCAACGCACTTGAAGAGTGGCGGGCCTCTGGCATGTCGCTTCATAATCCTGTATTAATAGAGTTTCAAGCAAAACGAATCACGTGAGTAAACCTTCACTGAATCCAATAAATCAGTGTTTGCTATAATAGTCGTTCCTCGGGCTTTTCCCACATATCGGCTTACAGCCTGCCAGTTGATAGAATCGATTTCGCTACCAGTCCGTGCTTACTCCTCGGGAGATACCGGAAAAATCTTAAGGTTCAAAAGTCGAAAGCAAGGTCTCGTCTAAGGCGGTTCGTGAAGAATTTTTATCGGAGAAGTATTGAGATCACACGGCATGTGAGACTAACATGCCGTGCATATTCGAATAAATGCGTACGTTCATTTGAGAGCGCTCTTACAATTAGATGAGCCTTTCATCCCAAGTCAATCAGGCATAGTTCAACTGCCGGGGACCGAAGTCCTCATCGGAATAAGACTAGGGGCCATCCGGCGAGATAAATTCAGTAAATGTTAATATGTAATATACAAATACTACATTTGTTCGTACGAAAAATGTTGAAAAAATGATTCAGGAAGACTAAATTATTATATTACGGGATCCATACTTCATTGCCATTTCCTCGAAAGAAAAGGAAAGGAGCAGTCTTTATGACTACTGTAAAAGATGATATTAAAGAATTAAATAGCACATTGATATTCAAAATTTCTAAACAAAGATTTATAATCACGATATAACTAGTAATAAACCAATCGTAAGAGCAAAATCCTATTAATTAGTTTTGAATGGGGTTTGAGTTAGGTGAGATCACCCTTAGTTTTAAAGGATTTTACTCGCCGATCACGTTCTCTCCCAAGAATTGTCTAAAACGTTTTATTATCGCGGGAGGATCGTGAGAGGAAACTAATTATATTTTTCCCTGTATCAGCATACTAGTAACAATTATTCTCAAACAGGATTTGCAATTGATTAACAAATTTTTTTGAAATGTTATAACTTATATGTACATGTACTTATATGCGTATGTATGATCGCACTATCATTTACGAGATCAAGATCAGCAGAATATAATGTTATAATAAGATTTAAGAGCATTAAGAATGACTTAACGTAGCTACTATTAGAATATAGAGATTAGGTATTACAAAATGTTTAATTGTGGTAGTAACATCAGTGTATAATTATAGTCTGACATTGGGTCGACTCTACTTTTGACTTGTACAACTTTTCTATGTATATCGCAGGAATTATTGACGTAATTAACGATTATTGTGCAATAGTGATATAATTTTGCTCAAGTCACGATTAAACTGAAAACAATATAAACTCGTATTTCCCTTTGTATTTAAAATCACGATTGTCATTTGATACGCGAATTCCAAATTATACTCACGTTTTGGAACGTTTTAAAATTTTGAATAAGGCACAAAAGTTTTCTACGCGAGTACTTGAATAATTATGTGATTCATCTCGCACGTATACATATATATATACATATGTATATTTATGAATAAGTCAAGGTATACTTATTCGCCACGTATTCACGGAATTTCGAGAAGTTTCATTTTGTGGTATGGTGAACAAGTTAATCACGGGAATATTTCAACTCACATGCGGATGTAAAACATGCTCAAGGACAATGTACATATTGAGGAGAAAGAACAATTCAGATCGCAATCTTCGAGGAAAAAGAATCACCGATGAAATCCCCGTAGCAGCTGTACATCACAGTTTGTATGATAGAAATGTTTCGAAATATATTTCACGAATTTTTTATATAGGTATTACAAAATGTTTAATTGTGGTAGTAACATCAGTGTATAATTATAGTCTGACATTGGGTCGACTCTACTTTTGACTTGTACAACTTTTCTATGTATATCGCAGGAATTATTGACGTAATTAACGATTATTGTGCAATAGTGATATAATTTTGCTCAAGTCACGATTAAACTGAAAACAATATAAACTCGTATTTCCCTTTGTATTTAAAATCACGATTGTCATTTGATACGCGAATTCCAAATTATACTCACGTTTTGGAACGTTTTAAAATTTTGAATAAGGCACAAAAGTTTTCTACGCGAGTACTTGAATAATTATGTGATTCATCTCGCACGTATACATATATATATACATATGTATATTTATGAATAAGTCAAGGTATACTTATTCGCCACGTATTCACGGAATTTCGAGAAGTTTCATTTTGTGGTATGGTGAACAAGTTAATCACGGGAATATTTCAACTCACATGCGGATGTAAAACATGCTCAAGGACAATGTACATATTGAGGAGAAAGAACAATTCAGATCGCAATCTTCGAGGAAAAAGAATCACCGATGAAATCCCCGTAGCAGCTGTACATCACAGTTTGTATGATAGAAATGTTTCGAAATATATTTCACGAATTTTTTATTGCTTAGTTTATAGTCACGAATGTTTTTACATATATGTATCAGTTGATTTCACAAATACTGTGAATATTTTAATAAACTAGAAATAAAATGTCGATATAATTGATAGGGGATTCGAGAAAAAGAATTAATCAAATGAACTGGTAAAGGGAGGAAGCAAATTAACTCCTGTGAAATTCATCTGACACTTCTGAAAATTGCACCTATTCTTCGTATTACTTATGACACAATTTATATTCTTATTCATCATTTAAAATAATTTTGCAATTAGGATTTTCACAATATAGATACTTTTCTTTAGACTACATTCTGCAGTCTCATTGTAGTTAGTTTCTCTTCAACATTTGTGCCGTGTACTATATACCGTGTACCGTATTAAAAGATGTGTTTAATCTTCATTTGTCCAGTGAAATTTCTCTTCTATCTATCCTCTATCGTCGCAAACAAAAATCGTAAGACCACAAGTGCCAATCCGGATATTACACTTAACTTGAAATCACTACATAATATCGCGATTAACGACGTGTCGTCGGGATAAAGTAGAATATTCCTCATTTTAAATGTAGAAAACGTATCGCGTGTATAGTGTACTTAAAATCTCTAATGTAGGAGGGTACGCCGGAATAATAGGCACGATGAACTAGATTTATGGCACGCACAAGGAGCACGCTGTAAAATGGTACAAAATGAAAACAGAATGCGTGCTAAAATTAAGTCGTATGTAGGACTCGCCAAGTTTTATTACAGGAGATAAGTTGATTGATAAACATATTACAATCCATCACTGTACAAAGAAAATTACGTTAATGTGCAAACCTATTTCCAACGAACTCATTACTGGCCATGTGTTCACTTATTAAATTATTATTACTACTGTAGCCCATTATGCGCAGCTTCTTCTTAGAATACAACTATATTACTTATTTGTTAAAGCAAATTATTAAATTATTAACTTCTTATTTACATTAAGTCATCCCTAGAAAACTTGTGTTTCTTCAAGTACTAGCATTATGTATCAGATGACTTAATGAATATATTAAAACATTTTTTATGACAAGGATACAATTTTGATATTTTTCCATGCAAATGGCTCCAATCAGTGTTGACAATTCGATCCAATAACATAGTTCACCGTTAACCAAAGTTCAGTGTGTTCGATCTCTTATTAGAGAAATGTTTTGGTGTCTTTTGTTCCCGTTACCTACATTTTTTAACTGGGCGGGCCTAAAAAGAATCGGATGGGACCACGAAAAGAAATATCGGTCAGTAGGATAACGGAACGCGTTGTCTGTTTTACGCACGTCGTCCGCGCGTATATTACACGAACTTCTAAGCAAACGAGTAACAGTTGGGCATATCGTAAAATAGGAGAAAAAATCGAAGTAAAAAAGAGGTGCGGTATCTGACATGAAGGAAGAAAAGAGGAAACGGTTACAAAGGGGAAATTTACAAAGCAGTGAGCGGTTAAGCAAATGAATCAGAAAAGTGAGCCAGTTGGTCTCGCCTCCTATTCCCTTTTCCCCGCCTCTTTTCGAAACACCGATGACGTTTCGTCCATTCACCGGTTGTGTAGTTGTGGGCCCCAATGTCACTGATTATTCGTTTAACGGGACCCATATGTTCACGGTGGTGGTGAACGATCATCTCTCCGAAGACTAGGCGCTAGTTAGGGGTTCTGGGCTTCAGTCAGTACATTGTCGCGCGCGAGCACTATCTAGTTCCGTCTGTCGATTCAGTTACAGCGTTTCGAAAATATCGGCTATTTCAATAGGATCAAACGGTATCATTGCTATTTGCACGAGGATTTTTTCAACGCAATTGGACATTGTCAGTTGTACATTGCATTGTCGTGTGTGAAGTTTCCATTTTTAAATGAATTAATCTACTTGATCCAATCCGCACTTTAGTATATCTATTAAGTTGATACTAAAAATTGTTACACGATACGGCTAAACCAATTTGTATCAACTCTTTGACACGGATCGAATCGATCTCTTTTTTAGCATAAATCGTGAAGGATACACGAGTCGATTTCTGCAAACCAATTTTCGACGGTGTAATTTTCGATTCTCCGGTATATTTGCACCGGGACGTGTCGCAACCGTGAGACTTGGCTTCTCTGCAAACCCGTTCTCATTAGAGTCGTGCAACCACCACGTGGTCCCAACCGACTGTCAACACTTTATGTACATTGTACGAAAGTCTGCTGCGACAATGATACTTGTGGGCAGTTCTTTTTTTATTTTATTGCGTTAAATTACTTATACAAGAAGGCGTTCTATATAAAAAACTAAGTATTTGTCAAGTGCAATAAATATGAGATAAATGTAATAGATCGACTGCTATAATGTCATAAAGAGAGAAACGGAGACTTAAGAGTTTAAAAAGTTAATTATTCAACACCACCAGGAATGTGGACAAATAATTTTCACGTTGTTTTTCATTTCGAATATTATACATATAAGAATTAAGAATTTTAAACGAGAGATTTGCTTGGTAACGAAGTCCGAGACTGGACACAAAGAACCGGCGTGAAAAGAAAAATTGACGAAATCGAATTTTTGAAAAGCACAAAGAACCGAATGGTTAGGAGTAGAGGACGAAACTAAACCAGTCGGGCAAGAACGCGTGCAAGTATTTACAATACTTAAAAAAGAACCAATTTTTGAGAAGAGGCGAACGTATCGTGCTGAGTATTCGACGCGAGTACGTAAAAAGAAGAGTCGACGCATTTTGCATATTATTCATCGAAGGAAGAATATCGTGATTCGCGGCAGTTTATCGAAAGCGCGACATTAGATTAAGATTCACGATTAATTAACGAATCATTCAAATTGACGCAAGTGCCGTTAGGTTAGGAGTAGAGGACGAAACTAAACCAGTCGGGCAAGAACGCGTGCAAGTATTTACAATACTTAAAAAAGAACCAATTTTTGAGAAGAGGCGAACGTATCGTGCTGAGTATTCGACGCGAGTACGTAAAAAGAAGAGTCGACGCATTTTGCATATTATTCATCGAAGGAAGAATATCGTGATTCGCGGCAGTTTATCGAAAGCGCGACATTAGATTAAGATTCACGATTAATTAACGAATCATTCAAATTGACGCAAGTGCCGTTGTCGGCTATTAGAAAACTGCTTCGCTCATTAATTTGTTCAGAAACAAGTTTCGTTTAAACGGTTCAACACGGGGTCCATACTGTCAAGCGTAAGTTAGTAAATTGCAATAAAAAATGATTTTAGGCGAATTGATTTTTGAAAATGAGAGAAATATAAGAACTAAACGTTTCTGGCATATCACCAATGTAACAGTAAAGCAGGATGTTATACGTGACGAGCAAATGAAGCGAAGTTTCAAGAACGTAACGTGAATTTTCATTTCTTTCAAGGCTTGTAACTTCTTTGTTACAGGAATTACTGAAACATCGAGAAAAAGATGAAGTAGTAAAATTGGTCGGATCTACGAGCCATGGCACGACACCGCTAGTTATAGCTTGTCGAAACGGACACTACGACGTGGCCGAATACCTCATAGAAAAATGTGGAGCAAATGTCAATCAAACTGGTTTAGGTAAAAAATGCATTTCACTGAACTTTCCAAAAAACATTTTCTGTGAAATTTCAAATTGATTATTTCGCAATCAAAATGATTTTTTTTATCAAATTAATTAATCTCTAACATTGCGATAGTGATGTTCGGTGGTGAAATGATCGAATGCGCTCCACCTTTGTGGTGCGCAGCAGCCGCCGGTTACTTGGAATTGGTGAAACTGTTAGTGAAAAACGGTGCCGAAATAAATGCGACCACTAAAACACATTCCACGCCGTTACGAGCAGCTTGTTTTGACGGCTACTTCGATATCGTCAGATTTTTGGTAGCTCACGGAGCAGGTATGAACTGAACGACCGCTTTACGAAACAATTATGCATTTTCATGTCTCGGTGGAAAGGAATGATCAATCACAATTATGTTGTTTGCAGATATTGAGCTGACGAACCGTGAGGGACACACATGTCTAATGATAGCATGTTACAGAGGTCACATTCAGATCGTCAAGTTCCTACTTGCCTTGAGAGCAAACGTTAACCGAAAGTCCATAAAGGGCATCACGGCACTACACGACTGCGCTGAAAGTGGATATCTAGATGTGGTGAAGGCGCTCATCGAGCACGGTGCTCGGATGGACGTGGACTCCTACGGGATGTCGCCGCTCCTCACGGCAGCAGTAACAGGTTAAAGCAGAATGTTCCATGCGCAACCCCTGAAGGTTCCCTTAAGACGATTACAGTTAAATTGCTTAAATAGAGTGTTTCATTGCGCTCAATGCGGAAACACTCTAGCGAAAGTCGAATTACCACAGAATCATCTTAACGTTACAGGCCATAAACACATCGTCGAGTATTTCAACAGTGTGCCGAATTTAGTCACTCGGAAGGAACGCATTGATGCTTTAGAACTACTGGGCGCTACGTACGTGGATAAAAAAAGAGATATGATGGGCGCGCTTGAGTGTTGGAGACAAGCCATGGACGAGAGGTAATTGTATTATGAATCGCACAATTCATTATTTTACGATGCTTTTAAATCACATAAGTAGTTGTATGCGGCCTTTAGATATCAGAACGATCCAGTAATGCCCAAATCGCAAACATCATCCACGGTCGTCGCTGCCTATGACTTCGCACGAGAAATCACCGAACCCGAAGCACTGGACAGTTTATTAAACGACCCGAATGAAATGCGAATGCAAGCGCTCGTGATCAGAGAACGAATATTGGGACCAGCTCATCCCGACACTAGTTATTATATCCGGTACAGGGGTGCTGTGTACGCGGACGGTGGAATGTTCAATCGTTGCATCGAACTTTGGAATTACGCATTGGACATACAGCAGTCCATGCTTGGTCCGCTCGATCCAATAACTCAAAGTACATTCTACAGTTTCACCGAATTATTTAATCTCCTAATAGTCAGACAAATAAATACGGCGCGAAGAATGTTACCGTTTTACAAAGAAGAACTGCTTCGAGTATTTAAGAAAGCAGTACGTTTCAAAAGTTACACATATCTATGTGGCTATTTGTTGTACGACAATTAACGGGCGGTACGTGTTATTTCAGGTATTGGAAGTAAAATTAGGAAAACAAATATTGGAGAAAACACAGTTCCGTGATTTGAATAAAATTCTCGTGACCACTTTGCACCTAGCGAGTTTATTAACACACGAGATGCCAGAGGAAGGTACCGTGGAGTATGATGCACTGCACCAAGCGCTTTACGAATTTGTCAAAATCAATGCCAAAGGCAATATCGTAAGTTAACATGGAATAATGTATTAGTAAAATTGTATTATAAGTAATAATATCACTTTTTGTTTTATTGCATAGGATCGAGATGTGCTACAATTGGCTTTCAGCGACAGGAATACTATGATCGGTGATGGCCCGAAATCTTCGTCTACTTGCAACTTCCCATCGCCGAATTTAATAAAGGCTTTAATAAAAGTTGGCGCTGACGTGAACGCACGAGACAGTCACGGATGTACGGTGTTACACCTCGCGGCTACATTCTACTGGTCGCCAAATCTCATTTCCATTCTCCTCGACGCTGGTGCTCACATCGACACTGTCGATAAATCCGGCTCCACGCTGGAGACGTTATTACTGAATAAGTCCACGTACGACTCGGTGTATCCTGTGAGATACACGACGCTCACTTGCTTAGCAGCTAGGGTAGTAAAGAAAATTTATAACATTGAAGACGTACCGAAGCATCTTCAATCATTCGTTCAATTGCATTAGATTGTCAATGTTTAATTTAGTTTTAATTATATTTTCGACGCTATAAAGAAATAAAAACAATTCTCTGATAAGCATTTTGATATAAAGTGGAACAAAGTAATAAAAAATACTTTATTTATTTTATATTGCAAAAAGTAAAGAAAAGTGAAGTTCTTGATTATAAAATTTTTGTTTTCAATACAAGTATATGCGTTTTGCTGTTTTTCATTGAAATATCCTTCAGGTGTATTACTTAAAGACACTACTTACTCGTAAGTTTCGAGATTACGTTCATAATTATATACATTATCCTATAATCTTTAAATTTATTTAAAATGTGATAAATATACATAGATTACAAATAATTACATGTACATACTTAAGGATTATACGTATAGGCGTGGTGTTCTAGTAAGGTGCTTTTTTTGACGAATGGACGAACGCCGCACTTTACACTTCAGGTAGCACAATTATACTCCATGATAGCGTTTATAGTTTCATTGCAATCTTGACATAACTTAAGAATTTTGTATGTTACGAACCCGTTTACGTTTGCAATATAATTTAACGTTTACTCACATACACACTTTCGCCATTTTTACACAAACACTACGACGGTAATTCGCAACAAAAAAGGTATCTTACATGCGAAGTCACCAGAATAAACTGTTTTATAATGTGAAGACTGTGGAAATACAGGTGTGATAATTAATATAATGCGATGTTTATTTATTTCTACTTCAAATAATAATGGATTTCCGTATCGTAAAACTTACCGCTCGATTACCGTTTGATTGGAAGAGATAGCATTCCTGGAAGAACAACATACTTATAAAAAATTTGTTTGAAAATATCGATCACTTACCCGTTCCTTTCCCATAAGGTGTTAGCCGCAAGTTTAGAAGTTCATGTATTCAACATTGCCGGACCCTACAGAATGAAAATCTTATTTTTAGATCTAGAATACAATTTGAGAATTGAATGTTCAGACGATGTTCGGAGAAGAGACGTGCCGTTTAAACCTACGTATCTCATAATCGTCGGTAGCGTCCGTCTTTAAAAATTTCTCATGGAACAACAAAATACAACGAATCAATCACTTGCGACGAAAATAACGCAACAACAAACTATTGCACACGATCTCATGCGTTGTAATATTATATAGGATCTCCTAACGGCAATGGTATTATAAGAAAAAAGACCACGTCCTCGAAGTGTTAAAACAAGTTAATTTGGCAACCACACAACGAATGATTCGATGACAATCGTTAAACAATTTGTAAAGACGCATATTAAATACTTCATTGGCAATTACGGCAAAGACAACAGCTTAAAAGTATTTTACCACCACTTACCACAGGAATTACGATCAATAATAAAAATATTTATTTCTTACAATAGACAAAATTCGCACAGAACGTGGAGTTCTTGCAATAGTTTAAACCAGACAGACTTATCGATAATGATGGAAGATGCTACAATAAAATAAGAATCAACAACGATGTTAACAGATGAAATACTACAGATTATCACAAGTTCAGACTCTCCCCTTGGAACCTGTTGATCCAAAAAGACTTCAGTCAGATATTAGAACTGTTCATACGACGCATGGAAGAAGAATTCCAGATATAACTTGATAATTTTGACAATGTCACAAAATGAAAAATTGTTCCTTCTTGAAATGTCTTCTCATCATAGAAGACTAGAAGACCACAATCACCTGAAAAGTATCTCACCTGCGATGTAAATAAGTATTTACATGCCTCACAGATCCAAAACATAAACAGCAAATTCTAAAATCTAAGGATGTAATTTATAAAAATCTTTCTTCTTCTGAGGTGCGATGCAGTTGATAAAAATCTCGTTCGCGCAAATAAAAAAAGCAGCAGAAACGATATCCTCTATACACCAATGCACGCCGAAAACAAACCTGTTTAAAGTATATAGAAGCACAACCACACAGAAATAAAACACAACGACCATCGTATTTATTTTTTGTAGTCAAAACGGATTTGGATTTTATTCAATCACTGTCATGATGTCGTGGTTATACAAGAGTGTTATACAATGCGCAGAATGTTCCTCGAAATCTACATGACGAGAAGAAATATGTTTACCAAAGAATATATTTATAAAATTGACCTAAAAGGTCGTTGGTTTCCGTTTTCTTAAATATCGAAAGTTATTAAAAATGATTAGATCTAATTTTTAATATTTTTAGATAAATGTTTTGTATCTTTTGGTAAACATATTACATGATGCACAATACGTAAGACAAATTCTTCCCGATTTAGGGTATACTTGTCCAATTCTTATTCACTTAATCTCTCGAGAACGAATGAAGTGGAGAAGGGGCCTTCCTAATGGGAACTAAAATTTAGTATGCTCTACTGCACTTGAACATCCAAGTTACTACGAACGATAATGACGCGACGAATAAAAGATCAGATTGCAGAACTACAATGAAAACAATAGTCCCCTGTTGAGCCATGGTGTACCTTACTATGTATTAGATACAAGAATAGAGTGCGACTGATACCACAGACAAAACGACACAAGTCCATGATCTCTGCGTAGGATTGTGCATGAAAGTATCTATCATACATGGATAAACTTTAGCTCGTAAAATCCGTAACAACTATATCGCGTTAATATTTATTTTTGAAAGATTAATCTGTCCCTGATCGATAGACCACTCCGCGATCGAACGACCACAAACGTCACGTTCAACCGGAATGTGGGAAAACTGATTTATATCTCATTTCAAGTCTAAGAAATAAACTTACAAGCTACATTTTTTCTTGACAATTACTGTAAATATCATAAATCTACTGAAAAACCTACGGATTACGTAGAACATTATGAACCTAAGTCTAACAACTAAACTATGTGTCGATCACTCGAAAAAAATGTAGGAGTGAACAATTATTAGACTTCCACTGTAAAAAGGAACGATAATCTGGTAAAAAGAATTTCGAATGAAAATAGTTGCAGCAAGGAAGGGTGATCATCGGCAGCCAATGAGTGTTTTCAACGTCGAAGTAAAACACGACTGTTGATCTTCCAACGACAGATACTTCTCACCCACTGTCCTAAGTTTCTGCCACACAACTAGGATGAATTTCAAGTATTGTCATCAGGAGTGGAACAATCCTGCAGACGATATTACGAACACCCAGTCTCCTCTCGCTGCATCAATAAGTTATAGTTAAGCCTCAAATTCTACGAAGTTTCTCTATTCAAGTTACCTTGAGTGTAATTCCTGTTTTTAGTACAGGCGAACGTCAATCGTCCTGCCATCGATACGTGACCGATTCATCATAGCTATAAACGTATTATTAAAGAAAACTTTTCCAACATCAAGTATTTCAAATCAATATTTGTGCCATTTCTTTTTCGACATATAAAAATGTCCAAAATTGTTAATGAAAGGATACACACAGCTCGTTCTGCGTCCCACTCGGATGCGAATCGTACCATACCCATGTCGGTGCCTCGCATTTCAGCAAACTTGACTTCCCCGACATCTTGAAACTTGTCTCGTAACATTTGCCACGTTGTGTTTGGTGGTAGCTGCCGACATTCATATATTATAAATCACGTGAACGTTAAGGTTCGTGTGGAAAATAAAAAAATGTACATACATTTCCTATAAGAATAGTGTCAGACATTGGTCGCGAACCGTTCGTATTTTGCCTATTACCGCCTCCTCCTTGGCCCTGGTTTCCAGCGAAACCACCGCCTCCACCAGGTACACGATCGTTGTCACTTCTATTGAATCCACCGTCAAAATCTCTGCCGCCACCGAAGTTAGAACCACCAAAAGCATTGTTTCCACCGAAGCCTACATCATTGTCCATTTTAGATAAGCCTCGCGGTGCGAACGAATTGTTGCCTTGTCCACCAGCTAAAGAGGCTTGTAAATTAGACAAACCTCCGACTCCTCCGCCGAAGTTATTTAAGTTAGAAGCCAATTCGTTTGTCAATGAAGAGCTCAACAAAGAATTTGTGGTCAAGTTAGCACTCAAACCTCCTGCGAGACTTGCTTGAAGAGCTGCTGCATTTGTGTTCGTTAACGCAGATGCTGTAAATGCACGAGCTATTTATAAATTTCGTTTTTGTACATACGTTTGCATAAACGTTTGCAATAAAGCTTACCTAATTGTGCTGGCACAACATTGTTTAAGCCAGCTCCAAAGGCTCCAGCAGCCAGTACAGGAGCAGAAATGGGATTCACAACAGGTGGGTTATTCGCTTGTACATTAGGAATGTTTCTAGCCACATCCAATAATCTGTTTCCACCAGCTCCAAGACCCATTCCAATTCCCTTCAAACCTACGTTACAATTTCAGTTTACTTTACTTTATCATATAAAAATGTTTATTACAATAGAATATACATACCTTCTGGTAATTTTGGTGGCATATCTGGTTCATTCGCCCTGTCAAGTCGGACTGTCATACGCCTGTCATAAAGCTGTTGATTATGGAGCATGGATATAGCTTGTACAGATTCCACTGGATGATCGTACTCCACGACTCCAAACCCTCGGGATTTTCCATCTTTATCCTTCCCTAACTCAACATGTAGTACTTTACCAGCTAACTTAAACACTTCGAGCAATTTCTTTTCATCCACTTTGTAGTCAAGCTATATATAAAAGACAGTATTTAGTTAAGTTTCACATCAATATGTATAGTCCATAAATAGGTGTAATAATTTTTATTATACAATGTACTTACATTTGCTACGAATACTCTAGTGACTAAAGGTCCATTAATGCCTAACGATTCTAAAAACTGGGTACTTAGACCATAGGTATTTCCGAATTTACTATCACCACCTCCACCACCCCCGCCTCCTACTCCACCGCCACCACCGCCACCACCACCAGTAGGCGCATTTATATTTTGGCGCCCACCACCTTGTGGTCTTGGTGGATCTCTAAATCTATCATCACGAACTCTTTCATTATTACGGGCAGTTGCTAATCGTCCATATTTATCACGTTCAACATCAAAATCCTGAAATACACAAATATTTTATTTTGTATCCTTAGGATTGAATTCATGCATTTAATTAAATGATTATAAAGGAGTTGACAAACTATACTAACTACCTCTTTGACGACCAGCTTCCTTCCTTTAATATCATACCGGTGCATCTTTTCCACAGCAATTTTTACTGAATCCGAATCCTCAAATTCAACAATACCACAGCCTCTCGGCTTGTCATTTTCATCAGTGAAAAGTTCGACGTGAGCAACCTTCCCAACTTCAGTCCTGAATAAATCCTTCAAATCTTGCCAACGGAAATCGTACGGAATGTTTGATACGTAGATCCGACGATCTGAAGCTTTTCGACCTCGGTCATTTCGTTCTCTGCTGCGATCACGACTTGTAGAATTTATACGATTTTGTCGTTCCGATCTTCTATTGCGATCACGTTCTCTGCTTCGATCTCTCTCATCGTTATTCTGCACTACACCCCTAATATTCAAAGATATAATACAAGAACATAAATATAACATGAATTAAAGAAAATATGCTTTTGTCATCCTCAGATAATACTTCCATTAATCGTACTGTATGTTTACCGTGTGATAATTTGTAAAAATTATTAATTGAAATCGTACAATTAGAAAACATGTTTTATAAAGAGCTGCACTGTCAATATATTGGAAAAATATTAGCATCGGTTTATGTTAACTATGTATAATTCTTCATAACGACAAGGAACCCATGATCAGTTACCATGAATAATTTCATACTCACTCCTCTTGTTTGATCATCGTCGATCCTTCTATAAACAAATTATATCACTCGGAGAACTTATACTAATGTTCGTAATTAAAAAGGCTAAAAACCGAATATGCAAACATACGTGATCGCGAAGCGTCTTATAAAATGGCCGTCTAAGGAAGTGCTAAAGCACACCGGAAACTACTGTATTCAAAAATAAGTTCACGACCGAAAGAATACAAATAACGATACGAAAATCGTTTATTGGAATAGTTTTGATAATTATTATATTACTGACACTTCGAATAGCAGCCAAAAAACCTACACAGTTGTTACATTTAGTAAATATCACATACTCCGAGTCATTAAAGTTAAGCATAATCAGATTTCAAATTTTCACAGTCAACATACACTATAATATTGATGTCAATCAAAACTCTCGTAACAAAAGTTAATATTTATAACATTCTAAGAAGCGTTTATTCTCATACGTTTGGAATATTTTTAATTCATCATCTTGAGGCATAATAATTCAATCAATAACTGTCGATCTATTTAAGTTTTTTTAACTTGCTCTTAATAATTGTTATCGCACAAATGAAAAACTACATATCAGCAGATATGTGGCCACTCGGCGAATTTTACATGCTGCTATATATATAATGTATTCTGTTGATTCGGCTGATTCTGTTCCTGAATAGCAGAAGACACCGTTCAATGAGAACGGGAACCAATCACAGGTGTCGTCTCGTTCATCTCTGCTTTTTGGTGTTTCTACTTGAACTGCTACTGACTGATACTGACGTGCGCAACTGATTTAGGTGGTGGTGGTTTGTGTTTTTATTGTAAATTTTACAAAGAGAATGGCTGCGCAATGGATACGAAATGCAGTAAGTAACAGGCGTCAATCAGGAAATCCGTGAAACGACGAGTGTCCCGAGCGAAACCCTACCCTTTTCCCTACAAAAAGGTTAGAATTCTTCATAAGATTGGTTATAGGCTCTTCTGATAGGATTCGATATCTTGGCAGATCGTCATATACTCTTATGTCATGTACAGTTTTTGCTATTTCTTTACTCAACTTTTTAATATCATCATTATCCGTACCCTCTTTACTCGTTCTGGTAACTTTTCACGAATAACTTTTAATCGAATCGACGTTTGAATTAACAGGTTCCGAAAATCGGTTCTGCTCGTTATTACAGCAGTAAAGTTCACAAATGCACGCTTATTCCTGGAGATGGTATCGGACCCGAAATTTCTGCTGCTGTCCAAAAGATTTTCGATGCTGCAAAGGTAAAGCTTTCGTTGACAATTCCGTCATTCTGTGGATCCTATTATGCATGACAGTCTTTATATAATGTGCATGTTCTGTTAGTTACATGAAAAAACGAATCAATAACGTGTATTCACTTTTGTCACTTCTGTTACATTTTGCACAGTAGTTATGCTATAATACTTATTTACGAATTGTCGACAGTTTGAATCTTACAATTACAAGGTGACCCTAAGTGTCCTATTACTAACCTTAAAGAGTTTATTTTAATCTTACTCTTATACAGGTTGATCCAATTGTAAGCTAATTCAGTCTGCTCTTATTGTAGCAAAGGTATGTTTTCTAATTTGTACATTTTTTTTATAAACATACAATTTATGCTATATTAATTTTAATTAAAAGTATAGAATGATTAATTTATTTTCATTTATATACAAAGACAATGTAGAAAGCAGTTTCATAACAAGTATTGCAAAAAAAAAGTGTAATGTTTTTCATTATGACAGAAAAAAGAATTTGAGAATATCAGTCACTGTATCATGTATTGCATAACATTCTTACTCACTTGTAGTATTCATGTATATATGATAAATGTGTGTACAGTTTGGTCCATCATGTGATAGTATTAAGAAAAGTGAACGTATATTCACTGTATCATAAGATTTTATCAAAATATATTTATTTCCATGGTATTTAAATTTACAATGTCATATCGAATGCCAGGTACCAATAGAATGGGAGTCTGTCGATGTAACACCAGTGAGAGGTCCAGATGGGAAGTTTGGTATTCCACAAGCTGCAATCGATTCGGTTAACAGGAATAAAATTGGTCTGAAAGGGCCATTGATGACACCCATAGGAAAAGGGCACAGATCTTTAAATCTTGCACTAAGAAAGTAAGTCTATTCTTATTTTTGTATAAATCTCCGTACATACGTGATTAATGATTGGCTGACTTGTGCAAGGGACAGTAAAAAGTATGTATGTCAATAAACACAATCACTTATGTTTTTTCAGGGAATTCAATTTGTATGCTAACGTCCGACCATGTCGTTCGTTAGAAGGTTACAAAACGCTATATGACAACGTAGATGTTGTCACTATTAGAGAAAATACAGAAGGAGAATACTCCGGTATAGAGCACGAAATAGTAGAAGGAGTAGTACAGTCAATTAAGTTAATTACAGAAGAAGCTTCCAGTCGAGTAGCAGAATTTGCTTTTCAGTATGCTCAAGACAATAACAGGAAAAAGGTTCATAATTTGTTTATTCAAATATATACTTAAAATGATATTTTCGATAATTATATTCGTATTGTAGGTAACCGCTGTACATAAAGCAAACATAATGAGGATGTCAGATGGTTTGTTCTTAAGATGCTGTAGAGATGCTGCACAGAAATTTCCAAACATTAAATTTGAGGAAAAGTATTTGGACACAGTATGTTTGAACATGGTTCAAGATCCCGGTCAATACGACGTACTTGTAATGCCGAACTTATATGGTGACATTTTATCTGATATGTGTGCTGGACTTGTTGGAGGACTTGGTCTTACACCAAGTGGAAATATTGGTCTCAACGGTGCACTATTCGAATCTGTACGTATCAGAAAGTTCAAAGTCCTTTGTTTTTGCCAATGCGATAGCATATGATTTGGTAATAATATTATCTTTGAATAGGTACATGGAACGGCACCGGACATAGCAGGTCAAGATAAAGCAAATCCTACAGCGTTACTGCTCTCTGCTGTAATGATGTTGAAACATATGGGATTAAATCAGCAGGCAAAAATTATTGAAAATGCTGCTTACGATACTATTAAAGAAAGCAAATATTTAACAGGAGATCTTGGTGGAACTGCTAAATGCAGTGAATACACCGATGAAATTTGCAAGAAGGTGTCAGCACTAGCAAAATAGATGAAATAAAAGGTATATGAGACATAAACTGCCAAATACTCGTAGAAATGATACATATGAAGTAAAACGCCGTTTGTGAAGGCCTTTGTAAATTGTTCTCTTTAAATATTACTTTTAATGCTCCTTCCTCAGGATATACCTGGAATTTGATGAGAAATGAATTTAATGTAGGAGAAGGATGCCTTGTTCATCACACACATTTAGATGATTCTTTTTTCGAGTACTTTAATTAGAGTTTATTGTAAAATATAATGTTACTTAATTTCGTGGATTTGTTAATGTGTAATAGCATTTAATACGATTTTATTGTAACGGAACACGCTGTCTAACCGCGTGTATTGACTGAATGTACGTATATGTATGTCTGTCATATTTCTTTATTGTAAAAGGAGCATTCTAATAGGATCTGTAAAAAATTAGGCATACAAATTAATGTAGAAATGCTGTATTATACTTTTAAATGAAGCCGAATGTGTGTGCCTCGGTAATGATTTTCAAAGAGCAACATTGCGCAGTATTACACATCAATAAAATATAAAAAAATCTTACTTACTATTTATTATTTTAATCCCATAATCACTGTTTAAAATATTTCATTTTTGAATGTCTGAAGAACAATTTTTTGGTTTCACGTTACATAATGCTTTATTTTTTTTATTCAAGATACATATTTTAATTTAAATATATATTATTTTATATTTAGAAATAAAATCATTGATGGACTTCAATGTTCACATAAAGAAATAAAAATTAAGCAAATTATGTTTATATCTTTTTTATAAAAATTCTGAATTAGATACTCTAAGGACAATAGTTCTAAGAGAATCATTCTGGTGACAGCAACCTTGTACAGTTTTACCCCTTGTGATGTTATATTATAGCGCTCGTTCCCCAACCACTTCGCAACTTCCCTCTTCCTCTATCTCTTTTACCGTGGTACAGTATGTTCCTAAGGAAAACTCTCAAGTATGAGAAAAGTTGCCGGCTATATTTCATGGACGGAGGAAGAGAAAAAGGCGAGGAAGGATCCGGTGTCATCTTTGTTGCTCGTTAATACTTTCCGTGATTTATCGAGATTCCCCAGTGAGTAATGACTGACTTCTTGTAAATTTTTTTATATTAGATTCTCTGTTCGACTATGATATATAGAGCAATAAATTTTCCCGTATAACTACTGATCCATCCTTTTCTATACTTTTAAAAGTTTCTAATTAAAAAAGACAGTATGTAATTTTTTTATAGCAATGTTTAAAAGCCCATCCCAGAAGTCCGAATCCAACAATCTATACTAATTAATAAGAAATGGTTAGTAGAACTCTTGTATCGTTCAAAATTTATTTTCGATAATTGACAAGTGTTAACGAAATTAGTAAAAGATCAGAAACGGTCTATAAGCAATCGTTCGAACGGCGTAACATTTTTTAAAAACAAAATTAACGAGCTTGGAGCACGTTCACAATCTAAGCGGCTCGGTGCATCATCGGTTGCGGCTGTGAGGGCTGGTTACACAAAAGGTGGAACACTCGAGGGCGAAGCGCGAAAAGCGAGGCATGCATATTCAGCGCGTAGGCGCGGACATAGTCATAGGAATAATAAAAACTCGGGGGTTGAAATTATTTAGATTTATGCCCGCTCTCTTGTCCCGCTGCTGGGCGGTGACGAGAAGCGATTCGATTCCGGGGAACAAATTTCATGCATTATTCAGGACTCGCCGCAATGCATCCCAGTCAATGGATCCGATCCTTTGGAAAAAGTCGTTTTTAATCTCTCGTCGCGTTCCAATAATGCACATGCAAACCCCGCGCTCCTCCGCCCTACCCTTCGCCCATCGCTGTTCCGCTTTCACCCTTTTACGAGTGGAAACCGTGTTTTCTGCCTTTAATGCGAACGCGGGGTTCGAAAGCGAACAATAAATCGGGGATCTATTGGTATCTGTCCGTTCAATGTGCGACGCTCTCGCAGCTTAGAATTCCGCGATTTATTTTCCGTCTCGGTGTTCATAATCGCCGGAACCCGAACGTTTCAGGGAAACGTCAAACCGGAATGTAAAAGCTGCTGACGGAGCAGCTAGAAATTTCTTGCTTAATATTCCTCCCCCCCTTCCCTCCTCCTGCTTTATTCTTCGCTCTACGTTAATACCGTGTGCAAGGTGTCTTAGTGTGGCTCATCTGTTGTTATCGAATGCATAATTTTCATTAGCGGAATAAATAAGCAATTAGTCTGGCACAATAATTCAAATTTGCTCAACTAGATAAGATATTTGATTATTTCTCAACAAAATTAACTTCTTAAAGAATGTACGTATTATGATATTCAGAAAACTTAGGTAAATGAAATTGTTATCTTTTGTTATTTTATCTATGTTACTCTATTATAATTTAAAATCACATTCAATTATTAATTTCGTCGCACCGTAAATTCACCCTTCGTTCAGAGTCAGCGTGCGCAAAGGTGTTATTCGTTTTTTTCAGTCGTTAACAGATTGCACTCCTAATTAATCATACCATGGAACGGTCTGTAATCGCCTTACGACGGATTAATGGATCAGGCAACTGTTACGAGGAACGTTCTGTTTCATTATTTTTTCGTCTACCAAGCATCCACGGTGCATCCACTCACAATTCTCTCTGCGTACACGGAACGATGAAGAACAATCTGACTTTCGTGGTTGTCCTGGCGATCTTTGTGGTCGTCGTCGATGGGCGGGTTTACTACTTGCCAAGTTTGGACGAAAATCGATACTCCGACTTAACTTACCCCATTCCGAACGAGCAATCATCGCGCGATTTGGATTTGAGCTTCTCCGCAGGGGAATCGAACGACCTGGATAATAAGATTCGTACTTTTAAAAAGGTATGTTGATTCATTGTTTCGAAACTCTGTCTACATTCACCCACATGTCTTTTATTTAAAAAATTATGTGGTTCCGTTTAAAGAAAATAAACGAAAATAATTTCCTGAAACAAATAAACCGGTCATCGATATGTGATATCAATACGAATTAAAGCTGGCGCAAAAGCAGGTCTCGACGAATCCGTTTAATGAGAGAATTTCCCCCGAATAAGTACCAACGTTTTATAATAACACCGTAAATTGTCACATTACTTCCGAATTAGGTGTACACGGCCGTCGCGCCTGAAAGGCCGCTCATTGAAATGAACAAAGAGGAGTTACCGATTACACGTTACAAATTAGTTGAAGCACCTGTTAAGAGACTTGGTTCGGATGATGTCATTGTGATCCCGGAGTTGAACCGCAAAACAGTGAAAATCGATGGCAACAACAAGGGCGAAGTGATCTTGGAACTGCGTGTTATTGCCAATCACGGTAGTGCTTAAACAATTTCGACCACAAGTACTTCATAAAATTGGATGTAACATATGGATGTAATAAGTGTTTTGCAATGTAACAATTAATAAGTTTATATCTGCTTTTGGTATTTTTATTAATACTGAATAACATTTTATTGATAATCATTTTATAGAATTTTTTGATATGATTTATGAAATAATGAGATCATAAACGGAATATTACTCGTTTTAAAACAATGTTTTTGGAAAACTACATTGAAAACGTGTTTTCACCCATATAATCGCGTGTAAATACGCGGACTATGTTTTTTCATTCGGTCCCACAAATGAATTCGGCAGATCGATATCTCCTGTCAGATATTCCTTCGTCCCTAACAGCCGAACGCATCTCTTGTCATTGTGTGAATACGTATTCGAGTCTGGACTCCCCTAATTTGTGCTCTGTCAACGACCGCGTCAAAGAGAGTCCTGTCGATGATACAACGTACAGACATAATGAGATCATAAACGGAATATTACTCGTTTTAAAACAATGTTTTTGGAAAACTACATTGAAAACGTGTTTTCACCCATATAATCGCGTGTAAATACGCGGACTATGTTTTTTCATTCGGTCCCACAAATGAATTCGGCAGATCGATATCTCCTGTCAGATATTCCTTCGTCCCTAACAGCCGAACGCATCTCTTGTCATTGTGTGAATACGTATTCGAGTCTGGACTCCCCTAATTTGTGCTCTGTCAACGACCGCGTCAAAGAGAGTCCTGTCGATGATACAACGTACAGACAGAAGACAAAACTGGAAAGCAGTATAGCGATCCACGAAGAAGAGACCGACCCTTGCATGTAAGTTTATTAGTCAAATAATGTTGGGAAGTCAACGCAGAAGAGAGTACGGCCGTGCCCGGATAAATATAATGCTACTATTCTGTTCGTGTTCCATTCACGGATACTTTAGATTATAACGATTGCCAATCGAAGGAAGCGTGTGCTGTAAACCGTGGGTCGTGCCACCCTTACAACTCCTATTTCACTTTGAAAAATTGATTCTAGGCGAAACACGACGAACGCTCAGACTTATTTTCACGTACCCGTAGCTTTAAAATGCGCTGTATGCAACACGTAATTATAAATTATTAGATGAATACTTGAAAATTCAAATCTAATTATTCATTTCCTGATGATATTTGTAAGTAAGCATTATGACGAATATTATTTATCTTATTACGAAGTGAGTTTGATCCCGTCTCGACCCTGTTCAGATTTTGCAACTCACTATTTCTTAATTCAACGTTTTTGTTTTCACGCGTATCTGTAATTTATCTAACTTCTTTCAGCTCTTCTGTTGGGAGGTATCGAACAAAGAGTGTACACATACTTGGTCACGTGATTGAATCGCATTACTTTTATTACGTTTAATATACAGGTTCAGTGACTTCTATTAATACATATAGATACAACTACTACAATATGTACAGCGCATATCACATATATAGTCGAATTCGGAGTTGGATGTTCTTCACCCTCGAGGGATCTTTAAGATCCTCCGTCTCCTCGCTAGAAACCGACCCTTTCGTTTCGGCGTCTTGAATTTAAGTTTGTCTTTTCAAAGAACGACGGACACAACGATGTAAGATATTTGAATGAAAAACTCAGTGTGTCTGGAAAGTGCGTGATTAAATTGTGATATCAAAAAATGTCGTAAGTTAGACGCTGTATTCGATCACACGTCGAGCGTGAATCCATAATCGAGTATCGTTTGGTGTGTTTGACTAGAGTAACGTTTTTATGATTTTACGCAACAAATAGCACCGATGCAGATTCGTGGCTGTTCGTTTTATCTCTAATGTGCAAAATCGTTTTAAACATTAAATTAGAGAAAGGAAATACGAAAATATATTCTGTTCTAGAAACATGAGATGTGCTATGTTTTAATTTATAAAAATACAATAATAACAAGTTGTTAGAAAAATTGCCGAAATTAAAGTGCGTCACAAAAAATAGCACGAAACGAAGGACAGAATTATTAAGTTTATTTCGCAACGTAGAATTGAAAAATTGTTGCCTTTTTCTTTAAACCTCTATATGTATATACGACATAGTCGTATAAAAACCAGCCGAGTTTGTAAGTGTTAGAGCTACATCTATTTATACGGTCAAGAACGAGAAAGAATCGTTCGATTTTTACAAGTTATTCGGTTACTTGCGAAGTCTGCTCGCTCGAGGGATCGCCCTTTGGCTCCTTCACGTAATCCACCACCAACTCCAGTCCTATTAACGCCCGAAGGTCCTTCCTCTCCTCTTCTGGGCACGTAGAACCCGTAGCGATCTCCTCCGGCTTCGGAGATTTCTCGCCTGCATTTTTGAACACGTTGATTAATCGTATATTCTTTCGATTAAAAAATATTAAATACTATGCGCCAATGAGTCGGTTTAAATATTTCCGAAGTCGTGGAATTTTATTCTATTAATCTAATTTTAAGATTTAGAGAGAAATAAGTAAAATAAAGATTCATCTAATTATCCGAATTTATAAACAAGAAAAATCCATAATGCACGTATTTTAGCAATTAATATCGTAGCACGAAGTATCACAAATCTTGTACCAGAGTATAAATTAACACTGAACGATCATGCAACAATAAGGTCGAACATTAAACCCACTGTTATCGACGTCTTTCGAGCTGTCTTCGCTATCGCCGGAAGTAGACATTTCGCTTCTCGACTCTTTCAGGGACTGTCCTATCTCCCTGTACGTCCTGGTGAGCTGTCTCAGGATATAATTGGTACCGTGTGGATTCTCCTCGCTGCTCTTGGACGTGCTAGCCTCGTCCCTCGTCAAATTCAGCGGTCGATTGCTGTTGTATTCCTTCGATTGTGGCACGCTGAAGGCCGAGCAGTGTTTGCCTTTGAACGGCAGCTGCCTTTCGCTGAGCTTCCGGTCCCAGATGTGACCGGATACGCGAAGGTCGATGAAAAAGTGCAACGGATCGATTCCTGGATAGGATTGGGGCATCGGATAAGGTGGATACCAAAGAGGGCTGGGAAGAAATTCCGAGTTTGTCACGTTTCCGGGTAAACCGAATCCCTTGACGCCCGGAAGCATATCACAACCCCTTCCGGGAAGACCGGGAAGGAAATTCCTCGAGAAGTCGAGCTTCTTCTGGTCCGGCATCAACGGCGGTAACTCTTGGTTATTAATCGCGCTTTTCGTGTGATCGTCGTAAATATTCCTGTCGTTGTAATTGCAATTCTTGCGATCGTTCGAGAGCGACTCCTCGGGTTTCACCTTCTGTAATTCGCCAGCGAACAGATTTTCCGGTGGCTGAGCCTGCTCGAAGTGGTGCGGCCGCTCGTCGAAGAAATTCTTGCTCTGCTTGCCGAAATCCGACTTACTGTCGTCCACCGGTTTCATAATGTCGGCCCCGAAATTCGGTTTCTGCTCGAAGTTCCTTATTTTGTTCTCGGGATCGTAGCCATCGCTCTGCTTGCTTCGGTTCTCCAATCGCGCTTCCGCCGGCTGCGGTTGCTGCTGTCCGTGAAAATACTTGTCCGGCGGCTGTTGCTGTTGTTGATGGTGATGATGATGGTGTTGCCTCTCCTTCGTGGTCAATTCTAACGGGCGATCTCGTGCATCTCGCCAAGATCTCTTGCGACGTCTTGGCGCGTTCGTCGTGCTGTTCGTGGACGATACTTCGGTTTTCGCTTGTACGAACGACCGCAACATTTCACTGAAGAAGAAACTGTGCGGCGTTAACGGCACATTGTATAGATATGGAGGAGTCGCTGCCAGCAAGCGGGAAACCAAATCGCCGCCGGAGAGCGAGGCTGGACTCTTCAGCGTCGACGGATCGCCTGTGGTTGTTGTCATGTTCCTGGTCTTTGGAGGTCAACGCTAGACAAATTATTACAAAAGATTAAGAGATTCAATAAGCAAGATTAAAGTGTAAAAGCTAATCTTATTTTATATCAAGAGGCAGCGTTTGTTTGTGTGAAAGTGTTTGATTTAAGTATTTACTACTAAAGCTGGTTAGTAGCTTTCTTATATACTCTAGAGTGTCACAAGGTACATTTATTTGTAAGGCAAACAACGTTATTAGGAGTATACGAGGTGGAAAAAGAGTGAAAATCTCATTTTACGTTTATTTTTTTAACGCAAGAAATTTTTATTCAGCAGCAAAAGGGAGCAAAAACGCACATGCTAATTGTATTAGTATTTCATAATTATATATCCATATACACACATAATTAATAAACTAATATTATCATAAATTAACTTGACCACTAAATTTTCTAGTCTAATTCACAATGTGGTACTGTTGATATTACACACCTATTTTTAGAACCAAACGAATTCGACAAACATTTGATACCTACAATTCCGTCGATTTTTGAAACTTGTGGATATACGCGAATTTCCGAGCCTACAGTTTCCTGCGTAACGATCGAACCCACTAAAGACAGTCGTAGATATGTACAAATCGTCAGAGCGTGAAGGCGAGCTACCATTGTCTTCTGAAATTAATTGAATATCCGTCGCTGTTAGGTCTAAGAACCAGCCAGGCAACGCCTACGGCCAAGTACAAGGGACGAGTAATATCAAGGCTCGCGTCGCATCATCCATTAAGGATTACTAATTTCTGTCGAGTGCACGTTCGGTTTCGCGCGGAACGTCTTGCAAGGAATCCACGAGGAATCCTAGGGAAATCGTTAATGAGAATCCACGACTGCAGGTATTTCAATTAAACTTAGCACTACGCTTGTGTGAACAATCACGGTGGGAACAACTAGTAATTAGTAAGGAAGCGATTCTGAGATCCTACAGATCTCCTTATTTGATATAATTATAACTTTCTTGATCACTTTCAACTGAGAGTTGGACGATCATTTAATTTTCCATACAAATAAATGATATAAGAGTCTAGTTTGATTTATTTAGAAAGTTTTATATATATATATTTAATCTTTATCTATAATATATTCAGATTTATTGATCGTAAAAGCTTAGAAGTCTTTCAGTGTTCATTAATAATACTGAAGATGTATAAACTCGATTAATAATGTAAAAAATGATTGATCCGGATATATTGAAGACAGTTATTATTTCTTATCAACGAAATTACACATTCAACTTGGAATATGCAATGTAAAATTAAACAATGGAATCTCGCGGAACATCCCCATCGCGGTTTGATAAACAGAACGAGCAGAAGAATCGTTAATTCGTATGAATCCGTGAGATTTTCCAAGTCGAGATTCCATGAGATTCTTTCCGTCGACGGAAAAGAGAGACGAGCGTAACTGGGCGTAGAAATCAGAATGGTTGGTCTGTATCCGTGTCCGCGCGCCGAGAAGGGATTGGGTATTGTTTCGGTCCATTGTTTCCCAAACAAACGGCGTCCACGTTGTTTCGTCAGGAGATATTATGTTCAGCCAGACAGGCAGGACGAACAGGAAATGGACTGCTGTCAGTTTTACTCTCCGTGATAAATACCGGCTCTCTCGTAGCAGTCGGTGTCGGTGCACATCGTCGCGTTGCGCGCCTATAATTCCCTCGTCGCGCGTCTCTTCTATCGTTATTCAACATCGAACGATGAGAATCTTTTGATTCCTTTCGAGCATGGAATGGCACGTGATAAATAAATCGCCGATGTGTGTTCGTTTATGGAAAATTTAAATGCGTAAATATGTAAATATAGAATGTTCGTTATATTCAATGAGAATATGCGATACTCGAAATATACAAAATTGACAAAAGATCATCAATTGATCTTTCGTTGCCCTGGTGTGTTTTCAGTTCGAACTAAAGTGCAAAGCTATATTAAAATCTAAAAATGATGTAGTTTTTGTATTTAATAGAACATTCGAATATGGAAGATGGTTGTGATGAACGAACGATGTAAAAGCATCGCGGAAGGTGCGCAAATAGGTACGTGGAGCTCTTTCTGAAGAATCCCCGGGGACGCGAAACGCTTTTTTTCCCCCGTGATGGCTCCGCGGAAGACAATAGCATTTCCATTGCTTACATCGTGGTCTCCTCTTCAAACAGGAAATTTTAAAGCCCGGTCGCTTCATGAAATTCAGTGCGGCCACGGCTGTTTTAACCAAGCTTGAATTACACCGGGAGAGATCTTAAATTTCTAGAACATTAATCGCGAGATCGTCGCGATTATTTTTTATTTCCGTTTCGTTGCCCGTCGGTTAACCGTGTAAAATGTTGTAAAAATTTACGCCAAGAGAGAAAAGCGACGAGACTGCAAATGAAATTTACATCGTCCCCCCCTCCCCGTTTACACTTTATGGATACGTTACAACGTCTTTTCGGTCCCTCATATATAAATCGCATTTCCTCGGAGAAATAAAATGATTCAACGTGCCGCGTACGGTCTCAAGGATGTGTCAATTATTCAAAATGTGAGAATTCCCACTGCGTTGTCTCGTGGTACTTTCATTCTATTACCGTTGCGATATATCTAATATAATATAAAGAAGCAGACACCAGAAAATCTCGGCAGGTACTTGACATTGTCTGCGACGAAATAAATTACCCCCAACCGAGTTCTTCCCTAAAAGTCAATGATAATGCATTTTCACCGTCAACCCTCGTAATATTTTATTTAAGTGTCCTTTAAAAAAAATGCAATATACGTTCTTCCCTTCCCTTAATCCTTCCCGTCTGTAGTCAACCTTTGATTTACATCTACTATAGAATTCTTTAGCGTATATGTATAGAGTCGTAACTTCTTTCCTTTTTTTTAATATACTTGTTTCTCTTCTAGTATGAAGTGGTTAATAAGAAACGTCTAAAAATGATTGAAAATAAGCCCAATGTATCTTGTTTCTTTTTCAGTGTTTCCCTATGTATCTTACAAACTATTTTTACTTGTTGCACACTAGTTTCTAATTTTTAATAGAATCAATATTGAAAGTTGTACAATAAATTACTAATTGTAAGCACAATAATTTTTTCTAGAATAATCGGAGACGTTCTTAGGGCCACTCGATGCCGACGTCGCGACGTTTCCTCACGACGTAGATTCGGTTTCACGCGGCTGGGGAAAGCCGGTTTACGATTCATAAGACAACTCGGTGGATTGAATTAAGCGAGCGGTGCGGCAGCTGCCAGTTCGTTCCCGGTTCTGTCCGCGCACCCACCACGAATCTGCATAATCCCGTTCACGTCGACGATTCTAATTGGCGGATTGTTTCAATCTCTGTCGCCGCGAATATTTGCATTGCTGCTCCTCTCGTTTCGCCCGATCCCACCGTCTCTCTCTCATCTTCCGTCTCTACTTTCCTCGTGCCCATCCCCCGCTGTTCATACGTTCGTCTCTTTTCCTAATTCATTTCCAACACAGCCACCTTCTCCTTGGAACGATTTCCTTTTCACCCCCGTCCTTACACATCTTAATTTCTCGTTTTCTTCCTTCCTTATGTACTTTGGCCGGCTCGTGTACCTTCTGTCTTACCCAACCCCTTTTATCCGTTCTGCCGTTCCCGATGCGTGGTGCACTTTTACTGATTATATTCTATGAACTACTTGCATTTTTATCATCAATCTATTTCTGCAACTGATCCTTTGTCCTCAATTGTAAAAAAGAATCTAATTTTAAACTTGTCAGTTATCTTGCAATTCCAACGTGATCTGCGTTAGCCAACTGAAATCGCAGAATCACAGGTACGATATCCAAAATCCATCTCTTTCAATTATCCTGAAGACAGAGGCGCATTAATGCGCCCTCAACTTGGGCATCCCGGTATTCCCTTAGAGCAACGGCTATCTTTTTACCGACCAAATAAACTTTTTTATTGCGTGCAGACTCCCGACGCGAAACGATCTCACTTTACACAGACAGAAAAAAAATGTCAGTCGCAGTAGGACTCGGTTTTTTTTACGGTCGAACTCTCTGCGTAATTCGAACGTTCCCTCTCTCTATATGTATGCGTATCCATAAAAAAGGAGTAAAAAAAAAAGTATTCACAAAGAAGCGGAACATAGCAAAATGAAATACGTGCGATAAATAAAAGTTCGAATGCGAAATTCTTTCGTTAGCGGGCAAGATTGTACGTGATGGTGAATCGCGCTTTGAAGGAAGTGCCGGGGATTTGAATGCTGTCGAGCGTGTACAAATTACGGTGCAATGGATAACTGTAAAAGATGGTGGCAGAAAGAGAGGATTAATTGGTTCGATGAAATATAACGAGCGAGATTTCGGATTCAGTGAAAAATTGTTCGTCGGAGGAGACAGGTCATCATGTTCAATTGCTTCCCAAAGGCAGCACATTTTGTACATGAGATTTACTTTTAATATTTCGCCTCTTTTCAGTATTAAAATTAAGATAAGTAGACATCGAATTTCTTCAATTCGCAGGTACAGTTTTAGGCAAAGAAATTCTGTATAAAACTGAATTTAATTCAGATGAGTTATGATGAATTCATATTGTATCATGTCATTCCCTATTAATATATTAACAGCAACTAAGATCAAGCATAATAATAAATAGTAATAAATAATAAATAGTAGTAGATTGTGACAATGACTTTTTTAAACAAACTCCAATTAAGTGATTGTTTCGTTATTTAAGTAATTACTGACATGATGGATACTCAATCAATATTAAGTACAGAGGAAAACACGCGGTTACAACCAGGGTCTGCAGACCAATTGGAAAATGAATTATTACTGGAAACACGATACCCTCCGGATACTCATACATGCTAATTTTCAATTAATTCTCTACGTCCATCTTGTTTATTTTACCTTCGGATAATTACTTTATTATTTTTCGTATTGTAAACTAACACGTTTCGAACTCTTTCAACTTTTGTCTCAATGCAACTGGTGTTCCATCAAAAGTGTTTGCAATTCACCGAGTAATTATTAATGTGCAAATTATTTTATGGAACTGTTGTAAAATCAGATCATTTTTATAACAATTTTTATAAATGAATAAAAACTGGAGCTCTTTAGTAAAAAATAAAATTTCTTCATTCTTTACTCTAAATATAATCTTCCAAAACTTCAGTCCTCGTTCAATATAGATAAACTTCGTACATTTCGTATCCGCGTTTAATGCACTTGTCTTGCGTGTACAATTAAGAGGGCGAAGAAGTCGAGAAACAACTGTTTCACCCAATCGATCAAGTGTTTCATGTACCATCAACGTTGAAAAATACTGTTTTTTATTTCTTTTGTAATAAATACTTATTTGACTTCAGTACACTGTATCAATTGTGAGAGAATCACAATTAAAGAGAATTGACACTTTCAATAAAAAAGGTAAAAAAAACGGAAATAGAAACACGAGGATTAATACAAACACAAGGTAACACAAACTTGCTAACACTCTAAAAAAAATCAGAAATTATATATTCGACTCACCTGTACACGGTTGCGGACAGGTTGCGCGTCAGGTATGGTCCTAGTCTGTGATCCAGAGGAGGCGGCTGTGGCGGCAGTTGCGGCGGCGATCTATGGATCCTGACAGCGGTGTCGCGTGCTGCTCGTGCCAGCAAATGAGATAATAATCGGAGGACTCAGTCACTCGTCGTCGGGCACCGTGGCAGCCGTAGCGGCGGCAGGGAAGTTGTTCGGCGGCGGTGCTGAAAGTGGGGGTTGTATTCCATCCCTGGCGACCGTCGACAACGAGTACGCGAGTCACGGGCACGACGGAGAGGAAACGAGAGGTCTGGATGTACGGGGTGAGAGAGGACGAAGAGGAAAGGGTACGAGTGAGCCAGAGAGAGGGAGAGACAGAGAGATCAGAGGGGACGAACAGTAGTAGGAGGAGGGCTGTGTGGAGGCTGAGGGTGGTGGTTTTTGAGATGATCCGGCCAATCTGCGCATCATTTCCCCGATGCACCCCGCGTTCGCGGCAAACCGGCGTGGATTCCGCACCACCGCAAGCACCGTAGAAGCCCTGTTGAATGCCACATTTTGAGGCGAGGATGGAAAAGAAAGGGACGGGTAGAACGAGCGTCGGCGGACGGACGAGGACAGGTGACAGGTTGGAAAAAGAAGGAGGAAGAGAGCGACGGAGGGCGTCGGTAAAAAGAGAGCGAGAAAGAATGAGACGGGGAACCACGAAGAGGAGTATAAGCGTAGCGTAGCCTCCTACGGGGATGAAAAAAGTGGAAAACAGATATAGGCAAAAGAGAATCTTTTCTCCCTTCCATCCTCGCGTTCCCGCTCGCCCTCGCCGCGCGGCTGCCTCTTAGCCGCGTTCTCTATCGGAGATATGTTTACACTACCGGAAAAGAATCTCGGCTCGTGTACGAGTGAAATATCGATCTTTGATGCGCGTCGGAATTGAAACATATAGGTATCCCTTTGTCAGTTTATCTTAGGACTTTATTATATCGTGCGCTTATGCCAGAACTACGTGAGAAGAGTATAAGAAGAATGAGGGGATGATTTAAAAAAACGCTATTATCCGGTTCTTAAATTCAAAGTAAAATTTCATATTTCATTTCGACTCGTTTCACAGAAATAGATGTGTTCTACTTATTTATAATTTTAATGGTACTTTCATATTCCACTTCATTGTATGAAACATGTAGTGAAGGGATGATCAGCATTTTAATCGATATGCATGAGATAATTGTTATGCCGGATAGTTGCGGCATGAGAATCGTACAAGAATATTCTCTTTGGCAAACAGAATTTCGCGAGCCGATAGGCTCTGGTTAATGTACCATAAATTAAATTCAGAAGTTAAAGGATTTCGGGGGATCCTACCCTACCTTCAATACGTTTTGTTAAGCCGTGAACGGGGACACACGGCGTTGGATATAGGCTTTAATACAGTGGGGATCCATCTACGCTCGCATAGATACGCATACCTACTTGTCATATTAGTTCGGTGAACTCATTGACCATAGCGTAGAGCATCTGTAGAAATTCATTTCCAGTGGTCATATGGGTACCGTAGCGTTTCAACGAATTTTAATAAATGAAATATAATTTCCAGATCTGAAAGAATTGTTGCCCGAGTTCAATGAAAAGAATGCAAGTGGCGCAAGTATAAAGTACTATTTACTTTGAAAAAAAATGTCCGGGGTAGAAATATTTATTATTCAACGAGACAGCGCGGTGAAAATTGTCTTTGACAACAGATTCCGCTGGGTGTGGAAATTAGATGACCGTTCATACCAGATCCTGAAACGGTGCTAATTGGCCTGTTGCGAGGGGTAATGTGCGAAAGCACTCGTACCGCTCCTCACACCATCCTGAGCCAGATTCGTTTCCGGTTGTATCTCAATGCACCACAAGGGAAAAATTAAGTTCTTTCGACCCACTGCGTTATACTCAGAATCAGATGTTGCAATTTTTTTATGCAAATTTATTTTCTTGTAAGTGCAACTAAATAAACTGCCTTATTTCATATCCAATTAATTCTTCGAAGACATTCGATCCGAATTTTGTTACAATTATAAAGTGATTAACATCGTGACGTCAATCCACTCAACGAATCATATGAAACTTACTTCTCGATACAGCGTAAATAATTCACCCCTTAAAGCTCGATACCGTCAATGTTGAATAGCGCCTGGTCGGATGAGATTTGAAGAGAATCAGGGGCAGAGTTAAAGTATAACGATTTCAAATCGATGATCTTCAATTGAGACGTAGAGAAGGAGACAGATTCAGGGAGAGAATAGGAGGAAGGGAGGTGAAGGCCAGCCCAGAGTCCATAAGGGTGCTTCGCCTCGCGGGCAAGTACCCCAAATTTAAATCGTCGCTTCCATAACGACACCAGTGAATCTCCTCTGGGCGATGGCGAGAGAACTCGAAGAGGTAGGGTGAAAGGAGGGTGGGAGAGAGGTTGGATGGTCGGGTAGGAGGGAGGACTCGGGGGAAACAATTTACCCGAAATTCGCCTCGTCGCGTTTGGCGACTGGATACACTCTTATTTGTCCCCTCGGCAATCTGTCGACTCCGAACGCTCAACCCCTTCTCCTCGCTCTCTACCTCTTGGTCTTCTCCACCGCCTTTCCAGCAACCCCTTCAACCTCGATCCCTACCAACCCCGATTCTTCTCCCTTCCTCCCACCTACGTTCCAAAAGCGCGAAACTGCGAAGCCTTACGGGAATTTTAAACACCGGTGATTCGTCGCTGTTCTCCAATGTTGCTTCTATCTCTCTTTCTCTCTCGCGTTCACACACACACACATCATCCTCTGTCTTCCTTCCCCTCTCTGTTTCGTTTTCTCCGGTTTCTGTCTCGTGCTTTGTGTTCTTTCACGCTGCTCCTTTTATCTTGGTTTCTTCCTTCGTTTTTCAAGCAGACGAGTCCGTCGTTGCGAAAGACATTCCTGTACTTCGTATCGTCAGATTCGAAGTTATTCAATACTACGAGCGTTCGCTCATCTTAATTAAAAAGTAAAGAGAATTAAGAAGAATTTAGTCGCAAATTCTTTTCAGCTCATCATTACCCACAGCGGCAATGCGGAAGCATTTGAATCGTAATACGAGAAAATCGCTGTCAGACCCACCGGGAAGCGATGATGTTGTCTTTGAAGGGAGGTGTCCGCCTTGAACGTTAACGCGCCCCCTGTGTTAGGGTATAAGGGTACTTCACCATGATACTTACGCACTGGTAATCTTATAACCAACGTGGCTTGCGAATTAATCCGTTTGTTAGGATCGGTCATGGGGTCCCCGACCATGACACATCGGTGTCAATCGATATTTGAATAGTGCATCTTTTATTTTTCACCCCTCGGTGTACTGCATGTATCTTCTTTACTGAATAATGAGATCTGAAGTTTCAGGCAAATTACTAACAGACATAAAAACGATATCTTTGATTAAATTTTCTAAACAAGTTCAATCATATCAACAAAATATCTCTTACAGTTTTCGTCAAATCTGTATCTCTATATTCAAAACAGTTGCGAACGAACGCAAATCATGTCACGTCGCGAATGGCGGAAGGCGGAAGGAACATAAAAATGTAGAAGAAATGATCGAAAGAAGGCGGCAGAGGGCAGGGGATAGAGAGTTGCAGGAACAACAAAAGAGGCAGGGTAGGAAAAGCGATTGGGATTGGCGGCCGGTTAAATCTGAAACGCGGCCGACGTTCCATCAAATCGGAAATTCATCTAACAGGAGAAGAGCATAAGTACAGCCGCGTTGTTGCGCATCTGGTTTCGCGAAAAGAACGGAACGGTTAGGAAAAGGGCGAGAGATGAGGAATCACTCGAATCGGCGGGAGCCTCACGGCGGGGCGTGTAATATTCCCGGGAAGTAAAGCTCCCGAGAATTTCAAGACCCCTCCCCCAACGTCAACCCCCTGTGTGTCCGTCTCCCTGTGGCCCCCTTGCAACCCTCTCCTTCCCTCCCCTCCCACTCTCTAGCCCCGTGCGAACCGTATCCTCCTGTTCGCAGCAGGCAGTAGCAGCCACCCCACCGACTACGAGAAGGGATGCAAATAACTGGTGATAACAACAGATAGCTCTGCCGGTGGTACGGCTCGCTCTATATCTGTGTCGGTGTACCACTACGCGGTGGCGGTTTAGGTTTCGGGAGCAAGGGGGGATCGAGGAAAAGAGCGCAAGGGGGCACACAAAGGGTGGCTGAAGGTACGAGAGGCGCAACGCTGTGGAGCGACAGAGAAAATTGGAACGTTGGGCAGACGTAGAAACGGGATGAAAGATGAAGAGAGTACACACGGGATGGTAGTAGTCGATGCGAGTGAAGAGGCCGGGTAGAAATCGTAGAGCAGCGAGAGTCAGAGAAGAGATGGCTTCGGTCGAGGGTAGGAAGAGGAGGAGTAACAACAGAAACCGGGTGGAAGGTAGAGAGACGGGGCAGGATGAGTCTCTCTGCTGGAGGTGGAAAAGGGTGCAAAGAATAGACAGAGAGAGGAGATAACAGAGCAAGGGGGGAAGGGGAGGTATGAACGAAGAGCGGCGAGAAATATAAGTTGAAACGGGAAAGCGAGAAAAAGATAGAGGCGAAGATAGAGAAAGGTGATGGAACATGAGAAAGAGAGAAACGACGCGACGGTACAGTGGTCCGAGAAAAGCGACGATACAAAGGGTGGTACGAGGATGGAACACGGTCGAAGGGTGGATGGAGGTGCGCAGGAGGGTAAAGCGGAGGAGGAAGCGGAGGGACGTCACTCGCTGTCGCATCGAGCGCGAGCGATGAGTGGCGCGCGCTCGCTCGTCTTTTGTTTGCGATACGATGCGACTGCCAGCCTGGTGACAGCAGCCAGGGGGTTGCGGGGGTTGTTCGCGGAGGAAAAGAGATCACGGCGAGAGGGTGGCAGCGAGATGGGTGCAACGGAGAAAACGAGAAATGGTCAGAGAGAGAGAGAGAGAGAAAGAAAGAGAGAGAGAGAGAAGAAAGGAAGAGAGAGGGAGAGACCGTGAGGATGAACGAGAGAGAGTAGGACTGAGTTCTGGGTACCGGGTGAGAATCACAGAGCTACGCTACACTTAACGCGACCCATGCGTACATATGTTACATGGATGAGCTTACGTATATGAGCGCTGATACGTGCGCGTAAATTTCTAACACCGACTGACTCTCGCTGTATTGGGCCCTTGTTGTCAGCAGGTTGCCGGATGCACATTCACCTACGGATCCCTATGCTCGCCTCCGTTTTGCCTTGCCCGCGAGTAACGTACATACATACCGCTGTAGTG